AATATAATCAATCTGATTTTGGTGTTGACCATCTGGTGATGTCCATGTATAGAGTCTTCTCTTGTGTTGTTGGAAGAGGGTGTTTGCTATGACCAGCATGTTCTCTGTTAGCCTTTGACTTGCTTCATTTTGTACTGCAAGGCCAAATTTACCTGTTACCCCAGGTAGCTCTTGACTTCCTACTTTTGCATTCCAGTCCCCCCTATAATGAAAAGGATATCTTTTCTGGGTGTTAGTTCTAGAAAGTCTTGTAGGTCTTCATAGAACCATTCAACTTCAGCTTCTTCAGCATTACTGCTCAGGGCATAGACTTGGATTACTGTGATATTGAATGATTTGCCTTGGAAATGCACAGATATCATTTTGTCATTTTTGAGATTGCATCCAAATACTGCATTTTGGACTCTTTTGTTGACTATGATGGCTATTCCATTTCTTCTAAGGAATTCTTGCCCACAGACTAGATACAATGGTCATCTGAGTTAAATTCACCCATTCCAGTCCATTTTAGTTTGCTGATTCCTAAAATGTTGATGTTCAGTCTTGCCATCTCCTGTTTGACCACTTCCAATTTGCCTTGATTCATGGACCTAATATTCCAGGTTCTTATGCAGCATTACTCTTTACAGCATCAGACTTTACTTCCATCACCCGTCACATCCACAATTGGGTGTTGTTTTTGCTTTGGCTCCATCTCTTCATTCTTTCTGGAGTTATTTCTCCACTCTACTCCAGTAGCATATGGGACACCTACTGACCTGGGGAGTTCATCTTTCAGTGTCATACCTTTAAGCTTTTTCATACTGTTCATGGGGTTCTTAAGGCAAGAATACTGAAGTGGTTTGCCATTCCCTCTCCAGTGGACCATGTTTTGTCAGAACTCTCTGCCATGATCCATCTGTCTTGGGTGGCACTACATGGCATGGCTCATAGTTTCATTGAGCTAGACAAGGCTGTGGTCCATGTGATCAGATTGGTTAGTTTTCTGTGACTATGGTGTTCATTCTCTCTGCCCTCTGGTGGAGAAGGATAGACGAGTTTTAAAGCTGCTTTCCTTTTTTTTCCCACAAGCTGAAATACAGTTGACATAGAATATTATGTTAGTTTCAGGTATGCTGCATAGCTATTTGACATTTTCATACATTATGAAATTACCACCATGATAAGTCTAGTAACCATTTTTTCTCATACAGTATTATTGACCATATTTCTTATCCCCCTGGCTTGTACACTCTATAAATGGACCTCTTATTCCTCTTTACCTATTTCCTCCACCTTCCTTCCTACCTCCACTCTGACCAATTTATTCTGTGTGTCTATGAGTCCTTTTTTGTTTTAATTTTTTGTTAGCTTTGTTTTTCAGTTTCTACATATAAATGAGATCACATGATATTTGTCTTTCTCTGACATTTCATTTAGCAGTTGTTGCAAATGGCAAGATTTCATTCTTTCTTACGGCTTAAATATCCCATTGTGTATTTATACCACATCTTCGTTATCCATTCATCTGTTGGTGAACACTCAGCTTGCTTCCAAAAATTGGTTATTGTAAATAAGGCTGCAGTGAGCACCAGGGTGCACATATCTCTTCCAGTTAGTGTTTCCATTTTCTTCAGGTAAATAACCAGGAGTGAGTTTTCTGGGTCGTGTGGTAGTTTGATTTTTAATCTTTTGAGGAAACTTCATACCGTTTTTAGTAATGGCTATATGAATTTATATTTTTGTCAGCAGGGCATGAGAGTTCCATTTTCTCTACATCTTTGCCAACACTTGTTATTTGTTCTTTTTTGTAATAGCCATTCTGGCAAGTGTGAGGTAATATACACATACATACATACGTACTAATATAATCATTTTAACTTGATAAGCCCTTAAGTTTGAACACATTTCAATCACCCTATGTATGTACTTCTACTCCCCTCCTTTAATGTTTTTGATATATTTTACAGTTTTTCTTTTTGTTTGTTTATCCCTTAATTACTTGTGAATGTAGATGATTTTACTGCTTTGTCTCTTTACCTTCCTACTAGGTTTATAAGGCATTGATCTACTTGTTTTACTGGGTGTTTGCCTTTACCAGTAAGATTTTTCCTTTCATATTTTCATGTATCTAGTTGTAGTCTTTTTTTTTCCTCTTGAGAAGTCCCTTTAACATTTCCTATAAAGTTGGTTTAGTGCTACTGAACTCTTTTTGCTATTGCTTGTCTATAAAACTGTTTATCTCAAAAAAAAAAACCAAAAACAAAAAAAACAAAAAACTGTTTATCTCTCATTCATATATGAATGATAAATTTGCTAGGTAGAGTATTCTTGGTTGTGGGTTTTTTCATTTCACCACTTTGAATATATTGTTCCACTGCCCCTGGCCTGCAGAGTTTCTGCTGAAATGTCATGACTGTCTCATGGGAGTTCCCTTATATATAGCTCATTGCTTTTCTCTTGCTGCTCTTAAGGTTCTCTTCTTATCTTCAATTTTGGCCATTTTAAGTATAACGTATCTTTGTGTGGATCTCTTTGGGTTCATCTTGTTTGGGACTTTTTATGCTTCCTGAGCTTGGGTGTCAGTTTCCTTCCCCAGGTTAAAGAAGGTTTTAGCTACTATTTCTTCAAATAAATTCTCTGCCACTTTCCCTCTCTCTTCTCCTTCTGGGACCCCTATAATGTGAATGTTACTATACTTGATGTTGTCCCAGAAATCTCTAATTTAAATTTAAATTAAATTAAATTAAATTAAATTTAAAATAATTTAATTTAAATTTCATTAAAAAAATTTCTTTTTAGGTTAGGTGATTTTCTCTACTTTGCCTTCTAGTTCAGTGATCCATGCCTCTGTATCATCTCCTCTACTGTTGTTTCCTCCAGTGTATGTTTTACTTCAGTTATCATATTCTTCTGATCTGTTTCTTTATATTTTCTAAGTCTTTGTTCAACTTCTCACTCCGTTCATTCATTCTCCTGAGTTCATTGAACATCTTTATGATGATTATTTTTGACTCTTTATGGGGTGGATTCTTATCTACACTTTATTAGTTCTTTTTCTGAGGCGTTGTCTTATTCCTTTGTTTGGACCATATCCCCTGATCCTCATTTTGCTCACTTCTCTCTGTTTTCTTCCTACATGTTCATTGTGTTGCTTACACTTCTGATCTTGGAGAAGTGACCTTATGTAGCCAACACTCTGGCATTCAGCAGCATGCTCTCCTGTATTACCTACTTAGATGCTCTAGGCTGCCCCCTATGTGGGCCACTGTTGTGACACAGATGACTGTTGAGGGTGTGTTGATAGATAGGACTGGCCCTCAGCCTGGTTGGCTGCCCTGCCTTCCAGCAGGCCTGGTAGCTCCCAGCCCATTGGAGAGTGGAGGATGCTTCCTGTATGGTTGGCTGCATGGCCTGGCTGGGGGATATGAGCTGTTGCTGGCCCATTGTTGGATTAGAAAGCCTCTGGTACTAACTGGTGACATACAAGGAGGACTTGAAAATGGATCTTGCCAGTGCTATTGTTACCTCAGTAGAAAAGCTCCCAGAATGGCTGCCACCTGCAGTGCTTTCCCTTAGGAGAGCCCAGTTGCCTCCTGTGTCTCTGGGAGGCTCTTCGACATCAGCAACTATGTCTGACTCAGCCTCTTTTCAAACTGCTGCCTCTGCACTGGAACTTGGAGTGTGTGAGCTTTTGAGTGTATCCCTCTAATTAGAGTGAAGTCACTGTTTCCTCCAGCTCTCCTGTAGAAGATCCACTGGTTTTCAAAGCCAGACTTTCTGGAGCCTCATTTTCCTGGTTCAGGACCCTCAGGAGGGGTAGCCCAACCCCTCGCTCCTTCGAGAGAACTTATGCAGTTTTTATATTTCTCCTGTTTGTTGGTTACTAGCCCAGGGGAGTGGGCTAGTAACTGACTTTACTGCATCTCTGCCCTTTCTACCATCTTGTCGTAGTTCCTTCTCTGTATCTTTAGGTGTGGTAAGTCTTTCCTGCTAGTCTTCAGGTCATTCTCATAGATAATAGCTCTGTAAATTGCTGTGATTTTGCTGTGTTTGTGGAAGAAGGTGAGTTCAGGGCCTTCCGACTCTACTATCTTGGCCATCTCTATTTTATTTCTAAAGGAAACCTCTTATCTTGTTTTCTTTGATATCCACAGCAACTCATATTTCGCTTGAGGAGGCTGAGGCTTAGAGAAAAGTAAACTGATTAAGGTCTCATAGCTGGACAGTGGCAGGGATGAGTGTGAAACTGTCTTCTTAAAATATGTACTACATCACAATATACTCTGTTGTTTCCTAACCAGCTTACACATCTGACTCACTCATGATGCTTTTCTAAAACACAGATGCCTGGCTCCCACCCAAACTTTTGGAGTCAGAATTTCCAGAGGGGTAGGTTTGGGTCTGTAAGAGGATTTGGAAGATGAGAAAGAAAAGAACTCTGTGGGCTGTGTTAGTGGTTGAGATTTGAGCTGGCAATGGTTAGAATGTCTGTGGCCATTATCTAATGCTGACCTCTAATGTGGCTTCAGTCTGTGCCTGGGGTGGGGGTTGGGGATGCATAAATGATTGCAAGAAGCTGTAATTGAGGGCCTCTCATTGTTGGTGCTGAGTTGCAGAATTCCATGTGGGATGGCCTGGTTCTTATGGTTAGGATCTGGAGCCTTTGGTTTATTCTATGCAGTCCTGTAGTATGTAGTTTAGAATTTTTTTCTGGCTCCCATTTTCACAACCAAGGTGGAATTCTCTAAGCTTGGGAAGAGTTTAACAAAATTGATTTAAAACCTGGACTAAGTCAGTGTTTATCCCTCTTGTTTGGAGCTTTTTTACTGCCTTGGGCTCAGATTAGCTAAAATGAACCAATGGGAAGGGCTTCTTGAAAATCTTAAAAAATCTTAAAAAAAGATAAACAAGGTCAATGATCTATGGGCATTTTGCAGTGTCAGCCTCATTTCCCATGCTACCAGAAGCTAAAAAGACTTGACCAAAGAAAGGATGGGTGGGGTTTCAGGCTTCTGTTTCCATTTTTATTTCCTCCAGCCTATTAGCTCTGGTTTCATGAAATCATATGATTTGTTTCTTTTTCCTCAGTCATGGTTTCTTTGTCTTAATGAGTGGGTTGGGAAATCTTACTCTGACACTTTCCTTCATTAATGATAACTCATGTTTGTAAAGCTCTTTAACTTCTACAAAGCACATACTTTTTTTTAAATCTTAGTTGATCCTTAAAATAATAAGAACAATAGTAATAAAAATAATAGCAAATAGTACTAACACAATAGTAATAATCCTAAAATAGTAACAGCAGTAACTGTGCTACTGTTTATTGAGTGCCTTTTAGTTACCACATGTTATGTTAGGATCTTTGATGTTTGTGAAATATATCAGTTTTTCAAGGAGATGAATATTTCACTTTGTAGACAGCAAACTGAGGTAACTCAGTTTGAGTAACTTGCCCAGGGTCTTATAGTTAATATGACTGATCTGGGATTATAGCTCTTCTCTATTATTCCAGAGACCTCTCCACTGTACAACCCTGATACTCTTGTGCTCAGAGAGTCAAGGAGTTGCCCAAGATCACATGTTACATAGTTGCAATGAATGGAATCTGCACTTGGACTTTTTTGTTTTGACCTCTGGACTAGCTCTTTAATTCTTCTAAGTCCTCAGACACCATGTACTGTTAGAAGGCTCCTATCCTAGAGATGTTCAGACTAAGCCCTTCAGTAGAACTGATTTGGTTAGTTCTTTTAACTTATTTTAAAGCAAATTTGCATTTAATGACATCCATTCATGTTCACTTAGTCTGCAATATGAAGAAGACACGGTGCATGTAGAAGAAACTATGTTGGAGTTCAAACACCTAAGGTTATCACCATTGACCACCCCTGACTTTGTGACCTTTGGTAAGTCTCTCTACCTTTCTTCATCTCAGTTATCTTACCTGTAGTATGCATACATAATAATATTTATCTCATAGATTAAATATTAGGTATATCAACCAACTATATGTTCAAGATTCTCTAAGTAATAACACTTTAAAATATCCTCTTTGGGGTTTTGTTCCTATTGCAATGTTTCCACTTGTTGTTTGACAACCTCATGACCTTCTCTTGGCTTCAATTTCTTTCTTATCTGTAAAATGAATAAGTTGGATTAAATGATTTGTTAGGTCATATGTAGCTTGTGAACCATGATTCTTGGAGTTCCTTCCACTCTACTGTTAAATCTTTATACAGAAAAATGCACCCTTCAGCAGTGTACAGCTCAGTGAACTGTCACATTGACCATACCTGTGTGGCCACTATCTTGACCAACAAATACAATATAACCAGCCCCTCCTAAGCTCCCTGTGTTTTCCTTTTCAGACACTAGCAGCTCTCTCCTTTGGAAGATAAACAACATGAATGAGTTTGCCTGTTTTTGAACTTGCTATACATAGGATCATACAGTGTATATTCTTTTCTTTGCCTTCATTAAATTTAGCATTGATTGTAAGGTATTTCTGTTAGTTTTTTTTTCTCTTTTTCTATATATTGGTCAAATTTTTTCATTGCTCTATAATACTCTCTTTTAGGATTATTATCCATTGTATAATTCATTGATATAAAGTTGATTTAAGTAATAAACTGTTTTAAAAATAAAAATTAATTAAATTTTTATTGATGTATAGTTGATTTACAGTGTTATGTTAGTTTCAGGTATACTTTCGTATATGTGTATATATATATATATATATATTCTTTTTCAGATTCTTTTCTTTTATAGGTTACTACAAGATATGGAATTTTCTAGGCAAGAATACTGGAGTGGGTTGCCATTTCCTTCTCCAGGAAATCTTCCCAACCCAGGAATTGAACCCGGGCCTCTTGCATTTTAGGCAGATGCTTAACCATCTGAGCCACCAGGGAAGTCATAATTCCCTGTACTGTATAGTAAGTCCTTGTTGTTTATCTGTTTTGTATACAGTAGTATATATCTGTTAATCCTAAACCCCTAATTTATTCCTCCCCCTTCCTTTCCCAACTGGTAACCATAAATTTCTTTTCTGTGTCTGTGAGTCTATTTCTGTTCTCTAAATAAGTTCATTTGTGTCATTTTTATGTATTCTGCATATAAGTGATATCATATGATATTTATCTGTCTGGCTTACTTCACATTGTATGAAAGTCTCTGGGTCCAACCATATTGCTGCAAATTGTTTTACAGTGTTTCATTTTTCTTTATGGCTTAAAATATTCCACTGTGTGTATGTGCCACATCTTTGTCCATTCATCTGTCAATGGACATTTAGGTTGCCTCCATGTTTTTGCTACTGTTAATAGTGCTACTATCAACATTGGGGTGGATGTATTTTTTAAAATTAGAGTTTTCGTCTTTTCTGGATTTATGCTCAGGATACTCTTTTTATGCTCTTAATGGTATATTTGATAGATGCATGATATGGTGTCTTTGATAGAATTTTAATATAGTCAAATTTGTTAACTATTTCCTTTCTATTAAAAACGCTTTGTATTCTCTTTTTGAAATCTTCACCTACTCTAAGGTATGAAATTTTTCTTATGTTAGGATTTTCTGTGGTTGTATACTTGATCATATTATCTATGAGCTGTCATAGTTCTGTTTCTTGGTTTCTAATCTTCTTTTTTCTTCTTTTACTTTCCTAATTGTACTGGCTAATACCTTCAGTATTAAGATGAATAGAAGTGGTGGTAGCACATCCTTATCTTATTTCTATTCTCAGAGGGAAAACTATGATCATTTCACCATTTAGTATGGTGTTTGCCCTAGGGTTTGTAGTAATTAGCTTTTATTAGATGAAGTAAATTCCCCTGTAATCTCAGTTTACTAAGAAGTTTTAATCACAGTTGGATGTCAAATTTTAGTAAGTCCTTTGAGGCAGTAATTGATTTACATACATTTTCTTCTTTATTTTGTAAATATGGTCAATTATATTTAAAAAATATATTGAGATGCAATTCACATACCACATAGTTCACCATCTCACAGTATACAATTCAGTGGTTTTTAGTGTATTACAAGATGGTATGAACATCACAACTATCTAATCATAGTACATTTTCATCACCCTAAAATGAAACCCTATAACCGTTAGTATCCACATCTCATTTCTCCCTAACTCCAGCCCTTCCCAACCACTAATCTACTTTCCGTCTGTGGATTTGCCTCTTCTGGGTATTTTATATAAATTAAATAGAATATATGGCCTTTTGTGACTGGCTTCTTTCACTTGACATAATGCTTTTAAGGTTCTTTCATGACGGACTCCCCTGCTAGCTCAGACGGTAAAGAGTCTACCTGCACTGTGGGAGACCCGGGTTCAATCCCTGGGTCATGAAAATCCCCTGAAGAAGGAAATGGCAACCCACTCCAGTATTCTTGCCTGGAAAATCCTTTGGACAGAGGAACCTGTCCATGGGGGCGCAAAGAGTCGGACAATTAACCATCTGAGCCACCAGGGAAGTCATAATTCCCTGTACTGTATAGTAAGTCCTTGTTGTTTATCTGTTTTGTATACAGTAGTATATATCTGTTAATCCTAAACCCCTAATTTATTCCTCCCCCTTCCTTTCCCAACTGGTAACCATAAATTTCTTTTCTGTGTCTGTGAGTCTATTTCTGTTCTCTAAATAAGTTCATTTGTGTCATTTTTATGTATTCTGCATATAAGTGATATCATATGATATTTATCTGTCTGGCTTACATCACATTGTATGAAAGTCTCTGGGTCCAACCATGTTGCTGCAAATTGTTTTACAGTGTTTCATTTTTCTTTATGGCTTAAAATATTCCACTGTGTGTATGTGCCACATCTTTGTCCATTCATCTGTCAATGGACATTTAGGTTGCCTCCATGTTTTTGCTACTGTTAATAGTGCTACTATCAACATTGGGGTGGATGTATTTTTTAAAATTAGAGTTTTCGTCTTTTCTGGATTTATGCTCAGGATACTCTTTTTATGCTCTTAATGGTATATTTGATAGATGCATGATATGGTGTCTTTGATAGAATTTTAATATAGTCAAATTTGTTAACTATTTCCTTTCTATTAAAAACGCTTTGTATTCTCTTTTTGAAATCTTCACCTACTCTAAGGTATGAAATTTTTCTTATGTTAGGATTTTCTGTGGTTGTATACTTGATCATATTATCTATGAGCTGTCATAGTTCTGTTTCTTGGTTTCTAATCTTCTTTTTTCTTCTTTTACTTTCCTAATTGTACTGGCTAATACCTTCAGTATTAAGATGAATAGAAGTGGTGGTAGCACATCCTTATCTTATTTCTATTCTCAGAGGGAAAACTATGATCATTTCACCATTTAGTATGGTGTTTGCCCTAGGGTTTGTAGTAATTAGCTTTTATTAGATGAAGTAAATTCCCCTGTAATCTCAGTTTACTAAGAAGTTTTAATCACAGTTGGATGTCAAATTTTAGTAAGTCCTTTGAGGCAGTAATTGATTTACATACATTTTCTTCTTTATTTTGTAAATATGGTCAATTATATTTAAAAAATATATTGAGATGCAATTCACATACCACATAGTTCACCATCTCACAGTATACAATTCAGTGGTTTTTAGTGTATTACAAGATGGTATGAACATCACAACTATCTAATCATAGTACATTTTCATCACCCTAAAATGAAACCCTATAACCGTTAGTATCCACATCTCATTTCTCCCTAACTCCAGCCCTTCCCAACCACTAATCTACTTTCCGTCTGTGGATTTGCCTCTTCTGGGTATTTTATATAAATTAAATAGAATATATGGCCTTTTGTGACTGGCTTCTTTCACTTGACATAATGCTTTTAAGGTTCTTTCATGACGGACTCCCCTGCTAGCTCAGACGGTAAAGAGTCTACCTGCACTGTGGGAGACCCAGGTTCAATCCCTGGGTCATGAAAATCCCCTGAAGAAGGAAATGGCAACCCACTCCAGTATTCTTGCCTGGAAAATCCTTTGGACAGAGGAACCTGTCCATGGGGGCGCAAAGAGTCGGACACAACCAAGTGACTTCACATGATGTTTTAATAACAAGGATCTGGATTTCTTTCTTCCTTTCTTTCTTTTTCTGGACTGAATAACATTCCATTATATGGCTGTATCACTTTTGATTTATCCATTCATCAGTTGAGGTACATTTGGGTTTCTGCTTTTTGACTCTTGAATGATGTTGCTCTGCATATTTATTTACATGTTTTTGTGTAGGCACAAGCTTTCATCAGATGCTTCTAGACTTATACTTTTAGTTACCATAAAACAAATCAAACCAAATGAAAACATCACTTTGAAGCAACAGTAGTCCCAGGGATCCTGATACTTGTGGTTGGGGACATGGGACTAACAGGATCCCGAGTTTGCTTCATTTTCTTTTTTTTATCTTCCCTCCATCTCAAGCTCAGAGTATATCCTTTGTAACAGTTTATAAAATTTGGTTGGCTTGCTGGGCAGGCAGGAAGCTGAAATAAAGATTACCATCTACTCCTCTGGGTTTTTGTTTATTCTGTGTCTTTCTGGAATGCCCTTCTCTGTTTCTGCCTGACCAACTCTTATTTATCCTTTTGGGTTCTTTGAGGTAGTATCTTCTCCAGAAAGATGGTTTATTACTGGCCTTTATCTCTAGCCTGAGCATGGATCGTTGACCAGTTTTATGGATTGAGAATTTGAACTAAGAGAAAGAAAGGTACTTTCCTAGATTTTTAAATTGAATTAACAGCAAGGATATACTGGCTCCATCTTCCTTTGATTCTTTCTCAAGGATATATTTCTTTCTTTCTTTATGGACAAGAAGCATTTGTATTATCATCAGTTTGCTTTGATTTTCAGGGTTATAAACTAAAACAATGAGAGACAGCAATGTTACAGATGGGCGATCTGGGCAAGATATATTTCTTTTAATATATAAAAGAATATATACTGACCTCAGTATGCTTAGCTGTAAAATGGGGGAAGTCCATACTGTTTGATTTCTGGAATATTTGTGAGGAACAAGTTAGACAGTGACTGTGACTGGACTTTGTGAAGGGCTATACGCATGAAAGGGAGGTGATTGTTAACTTCCTAGAAGATATTTACTAAGTGCCAGAGATCTCTGCAATTGTATGGATTCTTCAGTTCTCTTCTGCTTCCTTCCTTAGGTACACTGTAGTTTGCTGTGACCCCTAGCCAGTAACTACTCAGCCTAAATTGCACAGCACTCATGATAAGTCCTGTCAGCTAGGTTTCGTTTCCCTCCCACACTCCTCCTCTCCCATGTTAGCTAAGCTCTTCCTCTTATGATTTCTCAGGCCTGGTCTGTATTAAACTATTTCAGCCAGCAGTTCCTTTCAGTCAAGTCAGTCAGTGGGGGTCAGGGGACGTGACAAAGGATGAAGGACTTGACCAGGTAAACTGAGTATTACTGCCATGATGCAGCCCTCTTTCCTCAAGGAGTAAAGTAACATAATCTCTAAGATCATTTCCTAATATTTTTTGGGTGCTCCTAATCTAAGTAATCTTGGTGTTGGGTCCTACTTTGGATTTGGAAATATAATGAGAGTGATTAGAAGCCACAAGGGACTTCCCTGACTGTCCAGGATTAGCACTTCATCCACCAATGCAGGGGTTTGGGTTTGATCCCTGGTTGGGGGAGCTAAGATCCCATATGCCTCCTGGCCAAAAAAACCCAAAACACAAAACAGAAGCAATATTGTAACAAACCCAGTAAAGACTTAAAAAAAAAGAAGCCATGATTTTGGTCCTCAAGAAGCTTACATTTTAGGTAAGGAGGTTAAGTCT